TGGGAGTGCACTGTGCAGTGTCAAAGCCGTGCTGAAGTCCAAACAGACAACATCCACAGCCTTTCCTGCATCCACCAGGCAGGTCACCTGGTCATAAAAGGAGACCAGGTTGGTCAAACACAACCTACCTCTCCTAAACCCATGCTGGCTGGGTCTGATACCGTGGCCATACCGTGCTGTGTGATGGCACTCAGTATAAACTACTCCATTGCCTTACTGGGTACAGAGGTCAGGCTAACTATAATTACCAGGATTCCCTTACTACTCTTTTTGTGAATGGGTGTCACATTGGCCAGCTTCCAGTCATCTGGAACCTCACCAGTGAGCCAGGACTGTTGGTAAATGATGGAAAGCAGCTTCACAAGCTCATCTGCCAGCTCCCTCATCACCCTGGGATGGATCCCATCTGCTCCCATAGATTTATGAATATCCCAAGTGTCTCAGCAGTTCTCTGACTGCCTCCTCTGGGATAACATCCTTGTGATGTGCCTCGGGCAGACAAAGAGGTACTTTTAGATAAGCATTGTCCCACCCCAAACCCCTTGTGAAGGGCGGCCCAGGAGTTCTGATTGGGTTTGAGTCCCTGGGGGGTTTCTCTCTTGCTGTGTTTCTAGTGGTCCCTGACCCTGAACTCCACCCTCAAGGGTGGAGACCCTCAAGAGTTCTGTCTCTCAAAAACCCCTGCTTGGCCTCTGTTTGGGGCTCTCTGTTCTGGACCTGAGTTTGTTCCCATGCTGAATAAGTGGTTTCATGAACTGGGAGGCTGTCTCGTTGGTGTTCCATGCTGGTCCCCAGAACCCTGTGACTTCTCTGGATGAGATCCTGAAGTTGCAGACTGCAACATAACAGGGAGACCGTTCTGCTCCCTGACACCATCTACCAACCCAGGAGGACAGCTGTCCTGAAGACAAGCCATCTTCCCACTAAAGACTGAGGCAAAGAAGGCATTAAGCACCTCTGCCTTCTCCCCATCTGCAGTTACTAGGTTCCCTCCCACATCCAGTAGAGAATAAAGGTTGGTCTTAACCTTCCTTTTGCCATTAATATATTTGTAAAAATCTTTTTATTATCCTTCACATAAATTGCTAAATTAAGTTCAAACTGAGCTTTGGCCTCCCTAATTTTTTTCCTACATGCCCTAGCAACCCCTTTAAATACTTCCTGAGAGATCTGACCCTCCTTCCAAAGATGATACATCCTCTTTTTATACATCTCGCTACCCATCCAGGCTGGAAATCTGCCTCATCAACTCATCTTTCAGCACACAGGGACAGTCTCTTCCTGTGCCCTCAAGATCTTTGTTTTGAAGCATGCCCACCTTTCCTGGCCTTCTTTGTTTTTAAGGGCTGCTTCCCAAGGAACTCTCTGAATAAGTCTCCGAAATAGGCCAAAATCTGCCCTCTGGAAGTCCAGTGTAAAAGTCTTATTGGTGCTCCTCCTGATTTCACCAAATATTGACAATTATATCGTTTCATGATCACTGTGCCCCAAGTTGCCTCCAACTACCACATCACCCACCAGTCCATCTCTATTTGCAAACAACAGGTCTAACATACTCCCTCCCTTGGCAGGCTCACCAGCTGCAACAAAAAGTTGTCCTCCACACACTCTGAGAACTTCCTGGACTGCCTCTTTTCTGCTGTATTAAGTTCTCAGCAAATGTCTGGCAGGTCAAATTCATCTAGAAGAACAAGGGCTGGAGATCTGAAACATTCTCCAGCTGCTTATAGAATAAGTTGACCACCTCTTCTTCCTGGTTGGGTGGATAACAGACTTCCAGTAGGATGTCAGCCATGTTGGCCTTCCCCTTAATTCTTACCCATAGGCATTCAACTTCATTGTCATTAGTTTCAATGCCCATGGCATTGAAAGCCTCTCTAATATAAAGGGCCTCCCTTTATATACCTCTCTACCTCGCTTTCCTATCTCTTCTGAAGAGCTTGTAGCCATCCAGAACAGCCAGCACTCCAGCTATGTGAGTTGTCCCACCACATTTCCATGTTGCAGTTTATATTCATTCAGAATTATATGCAATTTAACACAGCTTTTGTTTATATAATGGGATACACAGCTCCTTCTACTCCAAGATGGTGACAACAGCCAGCCTAAAAAGCAGAATTTTATTGCCTGAAGGAAAAGCATGGCAAGATTTGTGATGCAGTGTTCAAGAAGAGCCTCCTTTTAAACTGAAGATTTTGTAATGGGTTTCCAAATGACAAGCTATAAATGCTTTATTTGACATTTTTTAATTTGCTTATGCTAAACAAGAAGGATTTTCAGGAAAGAGTATTCTGACACATCAGAGATTATACACCATTCCTTTAAAGGGTTACACTTCTTCCTGTTTATACATGGTATAACATGTTATATTGACGTGCAACTCCTCCCAAAGCAAAGGGATCATTTGATTTGAGGCATGACCATGCTTTTCTAGAGATGCTCAAAGTTACTACTGTGATCAACATTCACCACAGTTGTACAGAAATGAAGAATTAATAATTCCCAACTTTTCTTCACCTGAGTTTCCTTGCTGATGACTCTTCCTCCTTGCCCTTCTGTTTCTTCCTTCTCTATCTTCCTTTCTTGATCCCCAAACAAGGACCAATGTCCACTAATTAATTTGTCTTACCAGGGTTAACTGTGTAAAGAGGAGCACAACAGCTAGGCCTGTCTGCCTCTTTTAAAAACTGCAGCTTTTTAGAATCACTTACATCCTCAGTCCTGGAATGACATCACAAAGAATTGTACCAGGTAGCATCATTAGTTTGGACGCTGGGCTGCTCTTCACTCACCCTGCTTCTCAGCAGTTAACAGCTGCAAGCAAGGTGTCTAGAAAAAATGGTGAATCATCCAAGGGATAATTAAAAGGAGGAAAAAATTAGCACATATGGCATTTCTAAAGGCAGAATGAGAAATAACAAAATGAAACAAAACAAAAAACAATAAAAGAACAGAAATAGGAGGGCAGGTGCTCAGTCAGCTGTTAATGCAAAGAGAACAGTTGACAATAATACAAGTATGTGGGAATGGCAGCAGTGTTTACTTCCCACAGTATTAATCAACAAGGCTTGAAAGCAAAGAGAAAACTCCCTGAGATTGTCTGCTGGTTTGGGTACAGGCACACACACACCCCTACACAAATATACACACTCTCTCTCACGTACACACGCACACACTGTCTTTACCAGGAAAACAATCCAGGTAACTAAATTCTACATTTGAACATTACAAGTTTCCAGACACAAATTTGTTCAGTTTAACAAAAAGTCAAACACTTTGTGAGTCTTTGAAAAGTACAAATGGAAGAACAGACAGCATACTTGGTTAGAATATTGTCTATCTCATAGAATCCATGTGTATAATACTAAGGCACACTATTTTAAGACAAATTAATCCATTATTATAGATGTTGACAAGATCTATACAAGATCTATACACTCTCAAAAATGTAATTTATTTAATTTATTTCTTCATGATCCAGTAAAGGTGGCTGCAGCAAATTTTAAGAAGTTGTTAATTGCCTTCAATATTTCTTCATATATGTGGTTGTCCAAGCTAATGAATTACTGTGACATTTAGCACCATATACAGCTTATGTGTGTTCTTACCAATATAAACAATTCCACTGTAACTAAATCAACAGTTTAGGCCTGAAGAGTAAGGAGGTTATGGACTTCTAGCATTTTAAGTAAGAGAAAGCAAATGAAATCAAATGCCCTGCAGCATACAGAAGGTTTGACTACCAGATCCCTTTATCACCCTTGCTGTACAGGTCATTTGCTCAGAAGTGCCTGTTACATACACCACCAAAACCTTAATATTAAAAAAATCTAATATCCTGCAGTAAAAGCATGTCTACATAGGCATCTTCAACTAAGTAATAAAAAAAAAATGTATTGATTTCCTGTTCTTATCCTTACATCCAGTTAAAGAAGAAAAAGGCCTTTATTTCATGAAAATTATTTAGTGCCTTAAAAAAAACCCCTGCATATAAAACCGAAGTAGACATTGTGACTGATTTTTGGCTACAAAGAGGTCAGTGTTGGCCCCATGTGTATGCAGTATTTAAATTACTTATTTATAGCAGTCCTTAATAATTGATTTTATTTAGGTACAATCAAAGCTATACCTGCTACTCAATCCAGCTTGATTCAAATAAGTATTTTAAGCACAACAGCATAAAAAGTCTCAGACTGCTGCTTTAAGACTAAGGTTTATTCTCTTAGTCAGACCAGATCACTTAATCTGATACCCTCATCTATACAGTTGTTATTTGACAATCCCAAACCAAACTATGTAGTAGTTCAATGAACAAACCTCTCTGGAATTAATTCCAAATATTGCTGCTGTGTTCAAACACAATCTGCACAGCAGTGATTTAAAGGAAAAAAAGGGAAATAAATAAATAGAAAAGAAGAAGGGACAGGACAAGAACAAGTTGTGACAGGGGAAGTTCTTCCCTGAAAAAGCGATTAGACTTTGGAATGAGTTGCCCAGCACAGGAAGGTTGTGGAGTCTGTGTCCACGGAGGTCTTAAGCAATGAGTGGATGCGGCACTTCATGCCATGGTCTGGTTAACAGGATGGTGTCGGGTCACAGGCTGGACTCTATGACCTCGGAGGTCTTTTCCAACCTGATTCTGTTTCCCCTTCCCTTCCACTTGTGAGTTTTTTTTACTATTTAACCGCGATGCTGCGTGGAGTCCCCACAGTGGCCCCAGAGTGAAACCCCTCGTGCTTGCTCCCGTCCCCAGGCAGAAGCCCACGGCAGGAGCACACAGACAAACGCTGCCTTACTGCTGAACGCAACACTGCGCAGCCTGCCTGCGCCTCCACACGCACAACCCCGACCCTTCCGGGCACGGGAAGAGGGAACGGCGCGGGCGGTGTGAGGGGAGGGCACGGGAAGGGAGGAGGGCACGGGAAGAAGGGAGGGCACGGGAAGGGAGGAGGGCACGGGCGGTGTGAGGGGAGGCGCGAGCGCCGTCGCGCTGTGCGAGCGTCACGAGCAGGGGGCGGAGGCCGCGCGGCCGCGCTGCGGGAAGGGCGAGCGCGGAAGAAGGAGCCGGAGCCCCGCGCCCTCGGGCAGGTGGGTGGCGGGCGGGACTGCAGGGGCTCGAGCCAGGCCGGCCGGGCTGAGGCGGAGCATCGCCGCCGGGTTGGGGAGAGCCGGGTCGGCCATCCTTCCATTGTGGGCGGGAGGGAAAAAGCGAGCGGGAGAGCCCATTCTCGAGCCGTGCAGGGGGGAGGAGGGCAGCGGCGGGAGTGGGTTACACTATCCACGGCTCTTGGAGAGACCCGTCCCGGCCGCTGTCACTGCGCTTAATTAATACTGTCACTGAGTTATTAATTCACCGCAGCGGTGCTGCTCAGGGACCCACAGGTTGAGGGCTTCCGGTCTCCTGTGGAAGTGTGACCGACTAATGCTTCACGTTTCCTGCAGGATTCAGCGTTCCCATCCCTCGGCTCCGCCTGGCTGAGCCAGAGCTCTTCACCACCGCACTTAAAGCCTGGCACCTTGATGGAAACAGATGTTGGTGGTGGTCCGAGGTGACGTATGACCGAGGAGCAGGCCTCCTTTTTTGTTTTGTCACCGCTGCAGACAACTTTGGCTGGCTTTGTATCTGGGATTTAAATTGCCTCTTGTCAAACAATCAGTTTTTCTTGAGTTAGAGCCTAAACTGGGTTCTTCGAAGGCTTCAGCTTTTAATGACTGCAGAGGTTTAATGTGATTCTTAAGTGTAGTCTGACATACTTTGTCAGGTAGTTCAGTTGGGAAAATGGGTGTATGACTAATTATATACATTATTTTTACTAGAATAGAAATTACGAGAAATTACTACTACTTCTACTAATAGAAATTACTAGAATCTGAAAAATCTGGACAACCCTTGGTATTTCAAGCCAAAAGTTTCATGCAGAACAATATAAACTGTATAACACATTTTAAGCAACACACATGCCGTGTTCAGCTTGTGCTTTCGAACTGTTTGTAAAGTCTCTAAGAGATTGAATTCCAAGCTCTTCTTTTAAAGGAGTATGTTTATCTTATATTGTGCCTGTTTTGCAGGTGTTTGTGGGGGTTAAAAGATTTGAACTCGAGCTGAATAAAACAAGGGCTAAACATTGAAGGATGGCAGCAAATCCTTCAGGACAAGGTGGGTTTTAATCTAAGTATTCAAGGGAAAAGACATGCAAAATATCAGTGAAGTCAGTGTAATTGTAAGTTTATTTTTATGACTGAAGAAAGATTATTAATTTTATTTTAAGATGAAGAAAGGGAAGAGAGGTGAGGCTTAAAGCAGCAGAATGGCAGCAGTTCTTCTGGGACAAGGTACACACACATTTAATGGCTGAAAAAGATTATTGATGGCTGGGAAGCTCTGAATTACTGAGCATAATGTTGTGCCAAGCATTAGGACCATGTCTGTGGTACAGTGATCATTTCCTGGAACTTATTTCAGACACTTACGACACTTGACATTGAACTTGACTTGCAGCTATTGCACTCAACATCAGAGGACAGTCAGAAGTTAAATACATTCCATGCTGTGCTGGGAACAGCAAGACCCAGACAGTAGTATCTGTCCCAGGCAGCAAGTGACCAGGCCTAGGAGAAAAAGCCAATTAAAACCGTAGTGGTAATTGCGATGAACTGTTCCTTTATACCAAGAAGCATCTCAATTACATCATTAAAATAATAAAAATCTTAGTAATGGTCCATCTATCCAGGCAATGCATGTGCTTTAGAGGGGGCTGAGGGTCTGGGGATGTCACCCAGTAAATTTGAAGTAGGATCTTAAATCGCCCTCTAGAGGTGTTTTCTAGAAACCTTAGGGGAACTCAAAGGTATTTCTTATATGGAAGAGCTGGGGAAAAACCATCTCAGGGATGGTTCTTCCCTTACTTGGTTATGAGAAATTAATTCTGGGTTCAGTTTCTCAGCAAGTGGACACTTTCTGCATGTGTGTGTATGTGTCCTTACCTCAAGCAGTTCTGCAAACCTGGGTGTTGCTGGATGATACTTCAGGTGGTGTCACATGACTCGTGTGGGTCCAAAACAGATTTTACTTGCTACTTGATGAAAAGGAGGTAGTTTCTGGAATGCTTACTGAGATTTTGCGAGGTGTTGAGAGAGGAGTACTGCAGATTGCAGAGTTGTCTGTTTGCAGATTTTGACTCTGAGAAAGTTTTTGGTACATAATACATGATAAATATTGGGGTTTTTTTCTGTGAATACCGAATCAGCATCATTGCAAGGAATAGAATATTGTCATAGAGAGTTAAAAGCTGCTTTTTCTTAAATATGTTGGTTTACTGAGAGATGGGATTTTAGTGTCAGAATACCTTCCCTCCTGACTCCATTGTCTTATAATTTCGTAGAGTCTTGGAATCTTCTATGTTTGAGGTATTCTTCACAGACTCATTAAAGGAACAGTATAGTTATCATATGAAAATTTTTTGCACTAAGCAGACAAGAAACACTATAAAATTTAATTACCAAATAAGCCTATAAATAGTACTAAAAATTAGAAAGGAACAGGCTCATATAAGCAACATTTCGGGGCTTCTGTGTCGCCTAGATGCAGTCTAGTAGTGAAAAGGACTGTGACAAACACTGCATTTTTAGCTTGCCTCGTGGCATATGTATTACTGTTCAAGCAATCAATTCTCTTCACTTGGAGAAAAGGAATAGAATTTTACTGAAATGCTCATGGGAAGGGTTATGAGTGTTACCACTTACTCAGGCAGAGCTCTAAGGATGAATTAAACATTAGCCTTCTACACAGGTAGACTGATGGGAATGTTTTGCACTGAAGTACTGCTTTTCTTTTGATTGGTATCAGGTATTTTCTTAGGAGTAAATTTGAGTTTTCCATTGATTACAGACTTGGACTATAAAAGTTAAGATATTGTGAACCAGACTTTTATTAATTGGCCTCTTAGAAAAGCTCTCTTGGTGGTGAGTTGCATATGAGTGCAGAAAAACAAGAATTGAATGAAAAGCCTTATTTCAGTCCATTAGTATCAGACAGAACTGGTAGCACGAGACTGACTGTGGCATTTTAAAGCAGTGGAAGCCTTCCCTGCATGCTGTGCATTGCCCACCATATGAGCTCATTGACCAGAGTGAGACACTTTGAGGGGTGGAAGTCAGCTTCTTAATTACAGCAAATACTTCCAGATGCTCAGGAATACACTGCTTCTACCAAAGTACTTCAGAGTACTTGGGCAACATGCACTCATTAGGCTGCTCTTGTATAATGCCTCTGCTTGTGTGCAGCAAAGCCAAAGCATATGTTGTGTGTAACTGAATTAACCACGCTGTGAGTCCTACTAGAGGAAGCTCTCTGACATGAAAGAAATGCAACTCAGGACAGAATTCTCCTTTCGGTCCTCAGAGGTGGGAAAAATACAGATTCTGTTTCAGACAGGGCTGAACCTTTCAGAAGATAAGCGCTCTCGTATGTTGGAAGAAGAAGCTTTTGAAATATGAACAGAATTCTAAGTTTCAGGCTGTAACAGTTCTAGAGTCTCTTTATATCCTGAAAGTTGTTTATGTTTTTGTCCTAAATGTATGTGGAGGCATTCAGTCTAAGCAGCTAGAGTTGGCTCTTACATTCACCAAGTCTGAAAAGGAAGATTGTGCTGCTCTGCATTGAATTACATTATCATCTATGGACTTTGCTCTTCCCCATCTGAGTCTGATCTTTGTGTAAGCATAGTTACTGGAGAACTTTGAAGCCATAAAGCTGTCAATTACTTATATTTAGCTATGTATGTAGCTGTTTTCTGGAGGCACAGACAAAATACTAGTGTATTTTTAAGTAATTCAATTTACTGAATAACCGCTACACCTTTTGTTTCATTGTAACACAAAGTGTATGAAAGCATATCCAGATGTAAATTGTTACTGAGAGTATTGGCGTGCAGCAGACTATTAGATGATGTTTTGAGACGCCAGTCATCATAAGCAGAAGAGAACCCAAAACAGAATTACTCCATTTTTTTTCCACAAGTGGCTTGTGTTTAATAAGGTGTTTAGATTCTACTTTTTAAAAGGTTACTTTAAAAATTACTTCATGAATGCTGCCATTTATAGAAACATACGCTTCAGTAAAGAACTTGCTTTAAATCCTTTCTGAATTGAGCAGGCAGGACAAAATGCAGTGCCTTTCAACGTTCAGATCTTTGAGCTGACATACAGCTTTGAAAACATTTTCTGAGTATAAAAGTGTATAGTGGACACAAAGTAATGGAGGGCTCTTCAGTGCTGTTACACTACTACAGACAAATGATAAATAGTACATCTTGGAAAAAGACTTAAGTGTGCTGTGAATATGAAGCAACAACTTACAGAAGGATCAAGGAAACAGATCAAGGAAAATATAATCAATGAAAAGCAAAAAATTAAAAATAGATAAAGGTAATGCTGTTGTTTGCCATGCAGAGTTAGTTAGAAGAACTAAATAGCGTAGGTAATGGTTAGATAGGGTTGTAGGTGAGATGTTGAGATTAGGGTAAAGAGAGAGGCTTGCTGTGTGTTCTTAAAGCTGCCAGTTTCAGCAACAAGGTTTCAGCTTTCTTTGGCTTTCTGCCTTTCATGCGCAGAAAATAGGAGCAAGTAATCTTTCTGGTCCTGCACAGATAAAATGCTTGATGTCAGAAATAGAGGTGTCAGTAAGGTTTAAATTTTAAATGTCCTGAATCTGCTACGTTAGAGAGTAATCTGAAGTTCTAGGTGCTCAGTTTGACATCTGACACTGCCGTTAATCTGTTTAGCTGCCTTGAACAGGTCATTTTGTGTCAGGACTTACGTCAGCAAAGCAGAGAAAAATATTAATAAACTGCAATATTTGAACTGTTTGAACTCAAAAATTAGTGCAACTCAGCCCAGTGAAGGGAAGTCTAAATTTAAAGTTCTATTAGGAAGTTCCTGTGTTTGAAAATCTGCACACACTTTCATAGATGAGAATCTGGTCTGTATTAAGGACGGCTTTTGATTTTTGCATGTCCACATTTTTAGTACTAGAAAGCAGAACAGACAAATCTGCAGATGAAAAATTAGTCTTATTTATAATTGAAGCAGGAAGCTTCTGCTGTGGTTTCAAGTTGGTCTTTATGAAAGCATTTAGGGTTCCTTGATAGGGAAGAATCTAAAGGAAAGTCTTCCTTATGTATTGCCAGATATGGTTGATTACTTTGGAAGAATGGCAGAACTTCTCTGTAAGATGGATTTCTCATGTTCCACCCGTTCCATTGTTAGCCTTTAAATGAACAGGCTTTCCTTTGCATGTTTAAGGAGTTTACCTTGTGGTACTGACAGTTTACAAAGTGGAGTTACAGGAACTTCACTTTGCTCAGCTGAGTAGTACTAACGTGTAATGTTGAATGTGCTCTTCCATTGTCTTAAACAGGCTTTTTTCTCCTTAGCAATAACAAATTATCATAAACAACTGACTTTTTCAGCACCACAGGTTGCTGATGGGCACTGTCTAAATTCTAGTGGAAAATACTGCTTCAAAAAACCTGGCCAACAAACAAACAAAAACAACAATCAAAACAAAAAACACACCACAAAACTCTCAGTAGAGGTATAAGAGAAGAAAAAATACTTGGGTTTCTTCTGAATACCTTTAGAGTTTCTTCCATAAGATACTGTAACAAGACTCAAAATAGAAGACAGAGTCTTCTACAGTTTCTGATCACAGTTTAAAAACAGCATTTAAAATGTCTCAGGCTTTTCTGAATCATACCATCTGCTTCATGATAAATTTAAGCATATTTAATATTTATATTTTTAGATCACAAACTTACATTAAAAAGTGGTCTCCTTTTTATTTCCTTTATCATATCTTCTGAAATCCAAACATGCATTTAAATTTATTCAGTTCAGGATAAGCAAGCAGTATTAGAAGGGTGCTGAGTAAAATGACAGGTATAAAGGTTTTTGGATTAAAACTGTGTAGAATGAGCATGCAAACATGGTTGTTTTAGATCAGTCCCTCTAAGAGGTGATTCAGTCATCCTATCCACACGTTGTCTCCAGAATCTACAAGAAAGTAAAGTCTGGGCTAGCTGCAGCTCAGAAATATTAGATCGTAGCTTGTTGGCAAGATTTTTCAGCCTTTGTACGTTAGCTCCGTTTTAAGGTTTCAGATTCTTTGCAAGTGCAAGATCTTCAAAAACAAAGAGATGGTGTACAATACCCAAAGAGCAGAGAAAGATCAAAGGCCTGAATCAATACTCTTCAAAGATCTGACAGAGTTTAAGTGGAGCTAATGCCACATAGGAAGAGGTTAGTGGGCAGAAAAATACCGGTTAATTAAATGTAACTGAAAATCTTATTAACAAATGTCGAAATTATTGTGGGTGATCTTACATAAAACCCTAGTACAATATAATCAAAAGACTGTGCTCCTTTCAAGAACTCTTGAAGACACTGAAGTTTATGGGTATGCATTTTAGGCATGGTAGACAACAAAGGTGTGAGTTGACAGCAAGGAAGTACAGATGCAAATTGTTATTTAGAGTTGAAGGTTTCTCTCTGGTAATTGTCTCCTTCATTAAGCCACGCAGATGAAAGGTATACTGGATTCTGTAATTGAGCATCAGCCCAAGGTCTGTCAAAGAGGATGAACTTTGAGTGCAGCTACTGAAAATAAATCATTTTACCTTGACATGCTAATACTCTCCCTAAGAGTTACCATGTGTGGCCTTCCTAATAGCTTGTGGGCTAGTGCTGTCTTGAAAATGGTTCTCAGGGCAGGGGCACAGCACACAGCAATTCCCAGTGGGAATCTTGGACTTTTGGTGTGGAGAAAATAAAGGAGAACTTGATTTTACGTATTTTATTATTATTATTATTATTATTATTATTATTATTATTATGTTTTCGTAGCTTGTTATTTATAGAACAGCAGCAAATCGGAGATTCAAAAAGGGTGTATTTCTGACATGAGGAGTATTCTTGGTGGCAGAGAGGCATGTAAGAGTCAGCTCCAGAGCTGTTGCCCTCAGCTGTGCTGTTCAGGCAACAGCAGGGACTTGTGCATCTGGTTTGTTTGATGGCTGCAGTGTGATCCTTTATTATGTGAGTCCTGTGTAGGTAGGAGTTTTGCCATGTTCGCATTTAGAAGGCAACTTTGAAAAAGACATAGATGGCAACTATTTTGGGCATTTTTGAAATTCTCTCAAGTCACCCTATTTCTGGACCCCTTCTCTAGTATTCAAGGCCTCTTTGGAAGAATGATGAAAGCAAATGAAGGCTATATTCTTATATTGTGTACAGACAGTTTATTAGTTTAATTTTACTTCTGTATTCCAGCATTTGATTATACTCAGAATAAGGGTAGTGTGTATAGCACACAGTATATTTAAACTTTTCTTCATAGATTGGATGAAAGATGTTTGTATAAACACGTGTGCAAGCTTAGTCATTTGTTCATTCTTACCTGTTATACATATGCTTGTGTTACAGTTTGAGTTCACTAACATGAGAAATTAAGGCCTGTGCATATATTATTCTATTGCTATTGTTGAGTTGAACATTCAGTGATTACATTTTAAATTTAGAACCTGGTAAGTTTACTACTTTTTTTAGAAGGTAGCTATTTGATTGTAAACCTTGATTGTAGCTCCAGAGCTGGCTTGGGAAGGGATAGGATCTAACTTGAGTTAAAAGCCTCAAATTTAAAATGTATCAATATGCATGGTAGCTTATGGAAGCTATTGCATGCTGAAAAATGAAGCCTATTTAATAATAGTCTTTTCAAATGGGTACAAAGCTTTGAAAATCAGTGTATTCATTGTAGAATAATTTTCTACAGGGACTTCTAATTCCACTGGGAATTAGAGATGGGCCATAGAAGTCAAATAAATATCTCTAATATTTTTCTGTCATTCTCACCAGGTTTCCAGAATAAAAATAGGGTTGCAATCCTGGCAGAACTAGACAAGGAGAAGAGAAAGTTACTTATGCAAAACCAGTCTTCCACAAATCACCCTGGAGCCAGGTATTTTATGTTCTTAGACCTGTTTGGACATCACGGATTACATCAAGGAAAAAAAACCAAACAGCTAGTGAGCTGTAAACGTTTTATATAATACTTAACAGAAGTGTTTTCTGACCATCCGTAACAAGGCAGAGGGACATTGCTCTTTAGGAACGTACTAGTATTTAAAATTGTTCACAGAGCATGAATTTTAGCCTATATCATTAAAATTTGAGAATGAGAGAAGCAGATCTGCTTACTCAGGTGTATTAAAACCTACCATAAAGAAAAATCAGAAAGCAGACACTGAAAAACATTTCATTATTAAGCTGAAACGCTCTGGGGAATGGAAGTAGCAGACCATTAGGTTCAGGATTCTCTGTGCTTAGAGAAGAACAATTACAGCAGGAGTGAGTTATTCTTGAAACTCCCTACATGCAAGACAGGGCGAGTTTATGTTAGAGCAGATAATCTGGTAAAAGATGCTGTTTTGTAGGGATGATTCTACACCATAAAGTGTAATAATCTAATCTGAGTTGAAGGGCTATTACTGGGATTTCTCCCATACAAGACAAGAAGATCAGATTTTTGTCATAAATCAGTAACTAGAAAATCACACAATAATTTATGTGAAGAAATTGAGGTCCTTGAACTTTGTGGTTAGTGTGAAGTCAGTGCAGTGCCATATTCTAGACACAATGTAACCCACAACACCTGTACAAGAGCCAGATATTCTGACTACAGTCTGAGTGCTGCCCGTGTCTTTTTTGCGAAGAGATTGCAAACTTTTAATTACTTCATAATGTCAAAAACATGCAGAATACTTGAAATTGCCTGAGTGAGGTAAGAAGCTATTATTTATAACTGTATATGGTTATTATTTGAGCAAAATTGTTGGAAAGAAAATCAGAATATGTACAACTCCTGACTCCTGGCAACAGTGTTTCTGTGCTTCATTATAAGTCTGACAGAGCTTCAGAGACTGCTTGTTTACTCCCTTTTTTCTTTAAGGAAATATAATCTGTGTTCTATTGAGCAGAATTGGAATTTTCTGGTTTTGAAGGTGGACATGAGTGAAACCTACAATGCAGCAGTCAGACTCTCTGCTTTGGCATGGTGGGCTGACGTGTGATTTTTGAGAAGCTGACAGTTTTTTGATGTTGTACCAGAGGTCTCAGACCATAGCGTTGTCAGAATTGAGACCATAAAAACTGTGCAAACTTGACCGGAAGAGCTTGATGTACTTGAAGCACAGCAGTGGCAGGGATGGCACAAGGGTGAATAAGTTAATTGCTTTCTGACCTTGGCATGTGAAAATCCTGTATCCAAGAACAGAAGACCTCTTTTGAAAAATGTCAGCTTATGGTGGAGCCTTAAGTTTATCTATAGAAATCTTACTGAAAAATTAGAGGGTACAGATTAAATGCAAATTAAATACCTCCAAAATCACTGAAAATACTGTGTTTCAAATGAACTGAGCAGTTCTCTTCTCCAGCAGTGAAACTTACCTTAATACATGCTGTAAGCAAAAATTTTTCTGAATTGTTTAGATTTTGTTATGCATTTAGGCGTAGATTTGGCTGCATATCTTTTCATGAACATGGGTGCTTCTTAAAAACTGATTTACCAAATCAGCTGTTGACATTGAAACTGCTGGTAAAATTCATTTGATTAAACTGTTTGGAATCCTTGCCATTTGTAGTCTTGTCTCTGTGATTGCTAAGAGCAGGGTTTTCAGTAGCAGCCTCCAGTGACAGTTACGGAGGTAGTTGAGAATTGTCTTGTGATAAAGTTCTAATGACAACCCTCACCTGATGTCCATGTTACTTGTATAGAGTTGGGGTGCTTTTTATGTCTTCTTTTTGGTTTAAGAATGTAGACATGTCCTAAGGTATAAAAGACAAGAAAAAACATAAATAAATTTTAATTTGAAACCTTATGCTGCACTGAGATAGATAAGCTAGATCAGTTTTAGGTACTTCCAAGCTGTCATCAAGGGGTCATTATTTCAGTTAGGAATCAATAGGAAGCTCCTTTATCATAAGTAGTGAATTGCTTTCCCCCACCGAAAGCCTGTTCTTATACTGAAGTCTGCAGAGCTCTTGTTAGTGCTTCTCTTTATCATAGCTGTTTAGAACAGTCACTCAATGACTGAGCAGTGGTGAAAGCACAAAGCTGCTTTAGAAATTCCTTGCATTGTCTAATACTGCACCCCAGTGGTTTCATTGACTTCAGTGGGACTTAACCCATGGGCAAAATCCACAATAGGTTTCAGGTTAAGTTTGGCAGGAATTGTTTATGATGGCTCAAATGATACATCTGTGGTCACTCTATCTTCTACCCTTTTTCTCTTATATTTACAAATAATAATTCCAAACAGTAACTGATAATTGTCAAGCCATGAGTGAAATGGAGAGTTCAGGAAGTCACGGTATCCACAGCTAGAATGGCAAGAACATGTTTTGGCTGTGGTCTGTTTCATACCATCTTGTTCTTTATTGCAGCATTGCACTTGCAAGATCACCTCTGAATAAGGATTTCCGTGATCATGCTGAGCAACAGCACATTGCAGCACAGCAGAAGGCTGCACTGCAGGTGAGCTGATACAGTCAGAGTTCAGTTTGGCTCTGTTTTAGATGTGCATCCCTTCAGAAAGCAGTCCTGCTCCTAGAGAAATTGAAAAGCCCCTTTTAGAGATTAGGTATCTCACATTTCTGTATTTGTCTTAAGTGAAGTCCCTTTTGTTATGATGAAACATGTCCTTGGGCATGGAGAGCTCCACCCAGCCCCACAACCATCTCTTTGTGTCTCTGTTGAGCTCCCTCCTGTTTGTATCTCAGACTGAGCTCAGATAGCTCCCCGTGGCTTTCTGGCCATGCTGGTGCTGCTCACTGTGCCAGTTAGCCTTGATCATTCCAAGGGCTCATGGCAGGCTCAGGCTAAATTTGAGATCCAGCAGGGCTCTTCCCCAGTGGTGGATGGAGGGAATATGCAGAACATCTTTACTTGCTGGAGTCCAGCCTTTGAACTGGGAAAGGGTACATAGGATCTCACAGTGGTGTTCCGGAGCCATACAGCAGCTGCCTCCCTCAGGTGAACAAGTATATCTACATCCCATGAGGAGAATCCTGGCATCCCATGTTTGGGAGTGTGTCTGGTGGCACTCCATGTAGCAACTGTCATCAGCAAAGACTTGCAGGCTGATTAAGGGAGTGGAAGTGGAAACATGGGGTCTAGGCAAAGAAGAGCAATCAGGAGTTGATTTGCTCCACCTCCATGGGGTTGGCCAAAAAGAGCAGGAGAGAATGACCCAAATTAATTGTCATGATGGGCCCTGTTCTGATGTGGCTGATCTAAAATGCTGGGTTTGAATTTGACTATCAGAATTAAAGAGCATACTGGGAGAAAGAAGTAATTAATGCTGCAGAACCCATGAAGTCTTAAGTCATGTCAGTGCTGTAAGGAGTAACGCTTTAACAAATGCTTTTCTCTTTCCAGCATGCACATGCACACTCCTCAGGATACTTCATAACTCAAGACTCTGCATTTGGGAATCTTATTCTTCCTGTGTTACCTCGACTTGAGGCAGAATGAAGAATGTTGTTTGTCTCAGAAATTCAAGATCTGATTTATCCATAGCTGTCTGACCTTTTAATTTCTTTATGTATCTTAAAACCTACTTTTTTCTGGGTTTTTGCAAATGCCATACAGGAGTGTGAGCTCTAGTGATGGGGAAGTAGTGTTGAAAATTTTTTATCCTGTATTTCTGTTCCTCTGTCAGGTCAAAGTCAAATGCAAGACTTTTCTTGGAGTTGAAGTACACGGGGTTTGCTCTTCCGTGTTTCAGTGCTTCCTTTAAATAAATGTCCAAACCAGAGTCACCAAGAGATGCACAATCTGTCAGCATTTGTGTTTATTATGTAGAGGTATGATTTTTGTAGTGAATAATGAAAATTATTTCTGTCCATCAAAACAGACACGAATTTGTCTAATGCATCAGCCAGTCTTCCTCCCCACCCTCTCCTATGCAGGAACATTTCTAGTGTACTGTTTGCCATTGTAGCATCATCTGGTCTCAAGTTCTTAGTTACAGTGTGCCTGCCTCTTACCTTGTTTTGTGAAATACAAAAATGTATTAAAGTGGGGAAAAAAGCAAACTTTTCTAATAGTCTTTTTACAGACAAAAAGTCAAAAGTTCTCTGGACATTTCAGATGGAAAGTGCTGTCTGCAAAGACAATTCCATTTAAAAGGTCAAATTTTTCTAGTCATGCCTTTTTCAAGACTCACTGTCTTATTTTTGTTCACTTTTTGCTTTGGTGTTTTAATCTGTGGTAAACAATTCCAGCGTCTTGCTGAAAGAAGATCTGTTGATCTTAAGGTGAATTATTTTGGAACTGTGATTGTGCTACCAGGATATATAAGTAACATAAGAGTGAAAAATAGTCCTTACATAGACTATTGTATATCTCCATAGCTTTGCTTATACAGTTATGCTGCTACATTGATTGCTTTGCCTATGGAGACAAGTTCTAGAAAACAGAAAAGAACAGGAAAACTTACATGAGAATGGTAAATCAGAAGGTATCTGTTAAACTGGTGCCCAATTGAAGCAGCTCTGTCCTTTGCAGAAATTTAGCTGTCCCATTTTCCAGAAGTTTCCAGGGTTGTAGTTGGCATTTCCTTTGAGGCATCTAGGGTATTCTGTTTCTGTATGCAGGGGATTGAACCCAAAAAGCACTACTGAACTATCTCTTCATATTTCACTGTTATTTGCAGTAATCTTGAATATAGAATAATTACCAAGAGATGGGTGAAGGTATGAGGAAAATGCCACTGCTTTCATATACCTCAGGCCTTTGCAGAAACTGGAGCATACCGAAACATTTTCAGGAAGGAGGATCTTCTGGACCCAGCCTGATAGAGCTTAAAGATGTGCAATTTTAACAAGAACTATTCATACCATATGCTTTTTTTTCTGGGTTCTGATGTGATGAGTCATGGGAATGATGGTGGTTTTTGTGGGCAGTGGAGAAAGAAGTCACTTCTATTTTCAGTGGTTGGCTCTGTGTAGCTTTTTAAATACCAAAAGTGCATATGAAATTACCATATGAAATTGTCCTGACTATTCATTATTCTGCAGTGGGAGTGGCATATCTTAGATGCTGTGAAGAAAAAGATGTGCAAATTTCAGTGTACAGGAGGCAGCTATGAATCTGCCCAACCTGGAAACATATGAAGGCAAAGGTGTTAAAGCAAATGCAGCAGAAAGCATGGATTTTTATATTTCAGTTGAATTTAACATTAAAGGAGCTCTATGCTAAGAATCTGTCAGTTCAGTTTTACAGACTGCAGGTGATCCAGGCAATGCAACAATAATCATCCTTCTCCACTGTAAAGTTACAGTTGCTCCTCTGAAGGAGTTAACACTTGTTGGCTGTGTTGTTTTCACCTTGGGTATTGCTTTTGGAAATTCAGGGCCTGAGCTCAAGAATGAATGTATTTAATGGGGAGGAGGGGGAATGAACACAGCTGTTGTGATACTTTTAAATTACAATGTCTCACATTATTCCTTGGAGTTGTGAGGGTCTTGATGATACATGTAGATAGGATTAACTGTCAAATACACAAGTTACATATATGGAAGCACCTATCTTAGAAATGACAGACTGGAGCAATTACTGTCAGATGTATCAGTTTGTCTTGCCACTCTTTCTTTCCTACTGTTATTCAGTATTGGACACATTAGTCTATCCCTATACAGGAACTTCAGCAAAACCCTTTTCCCCTCTTGGAATCGCATGTTCAAATTCAAATCATTACTAGTTAGAATACATGTGAACCAGGAAGTGCCTGGGATGTCTTGCTTCTGGCAGTAACAAAGTTGTTGACATGAAAACTGAAGCCTTGTAATGTAGTGCTGACCTGTGTACCTCAACACACATGACTCAAGTAATTTTATTTCATCTGCTTCAGTAGACATTGGCCCTTCCACTCGCCAGAAGTTGGTGTAGAGTCTGTTAGAGCTGAATGGTGGGGTGTAAGTAGCTCATAGATTGGGCTAACACACCATGAGATCACATTTTCTGAGTGATGGCAGAGTTGTAATCTCTCAATAAGAGATGAAGTAAAGGGGTCAAAGATGTACTGAAGCACTAAAAGAACTGAACCACAGATTGTTTCTTAGCTCTGTCATCTTTTTCTTCCACTAGACAATTCTCTTCAAATCTTGGTTTTCTAAAGTCACCCACCATTTCTCCACCACTATATGCTCTGGAAAATGCTCTGGTTTAAGTTAGGAAGCTTGGCCTAAAAAATCATGTGTGATTGCCTACCATGTGTGCTTTTACTCTCCCCTTTTTCCTTAGTATTTTCATTCTGCTGAGCTTCTAGAAGCACTGATACGAAACTGATCAATAGTACCTGATGTTTTATTCGACTTTATATCAGAACACAAAATACTTCATGAAACACAGTAATGGAAAGAAGTTACACCCCCTGGTGCGGCTTGCCTAAATCTTCCTAATTGCTTTGATGTGCTCAGTCAGGAGGTCAGAATTGGTAAATGCTGCTTTTGCTTTCATGTGCTTTCAGCAGTGGACAATCCAGCTGTAATTTTCTGTCCTGTGGACACATCTGGGTAGCACTGTTCATGGACAAGGATCCCTGTCTGAGGTACACACTTTGGATGGCTCTAGGCTCTTACTAAATCACCTTTGTAACTTAAAGGCTAGAGGTCATTTATTGTCTTCCAGCATAGCAGTGAAGTTAGTGCTCCAACCAAGCCTTGGAGAAATGAATGAAGAGACCGGGTTTTTCCCAGCCTCTTTATAGAAGAGGAAAATGACAATTATCAGCCAGTTTACAGGGAACATGAACTGATGAAAGGAAATGCAGACAATGGCATCTTAAGAGTGCACTGCTTTTTATGGCTTCTCTCAGAGAATCTGCAGTATTGTAGGGGCAGAGCACAAGGGCTGAAGTGGGGAATGGGCCTAAAACAGCATGGTATGCAGTCACAGACAGGAGCAGGCAGTGACTGTCTCACATAAGGTGTATCCTCTTAAGCATTATGGTAGCTAATTCATTCAAAATCAAGAGAACAGCTGAGAAAGCAACCCGATGATTCCTGTTGGTGAAATTTACAGCAGTGACAATTCCTCCTGACAAATCAGCTTAAATAGCAGGCCTTTTTGAAGGACAGACAGTCAGTCCTGCTGAAACTGAAGCTGATTCCCGTGTTTTGGGGAACATACGGTAACCAAAAAACACATGAATCCTAAAGGAAAAGTTAATAGAAGGCAGCTGGTCTGCTGAGTGGTCTGTGTGCACAGCCACCTCTGAAGGAGGAGGTGGAGAATGTGGGAGGGATTGTCTGACACCCAGCTGGAAAATTGCACCCATCCAGAGCTCTGTGTGCTTGATTTATGTTTTGCTAACACACAGGGAAAATTCTATAGCACCTGCCAGTAACACCCTTGTGTCTGGAAAGCCTGGTAATCAGTGCGTTCTGGAACACTTTTGGAGGGCTAAAATACAGAGCTTTCTGTAGTAACTTTGACAGCTAGTCAGTGAAGTAGTTTTCACATGCTGTTAGGTTAATAGTTTGCTCAGTGAGTTTCTGCATTTATTGGAAGTACAGAGCTCGCCTCAGGCATTTTACAATAAGAACAACACTCTTCTGTTTCCTAGTTTTTGTTCTTCATAGAAGGAACCAAATGATACATGTTTTTGGGGAAATGAGTTTTACATTCCTTCCCTGAATATTGTTTTTTTAGAGAGAAAGTTTAATGTATTAAATAGAGAAAGCTTGATTATTTCAGTGAGACATTATGAAAAAATCTGTTAAACTACTGGTGAGGAAATTACTTTCCTCAGCTATTCCACTCTTCCAGGTTCATTCCAGCATTGAATTATGAAAGGTGGTGACATAGTTCTCAACATGTTCTCATTAAGGTCTCTTATCTGGATACTTTGGTGTCAGTGGATGCTTCTTCTTTCATGAAGATCTTGTAGGTAAGGTCCGAAAGTTGTTCAAAATCTACCTAGAAAGTACAAATCACAAGCTCACATGCCACCTTCATTATGCACATACATTGCACATATTAGGGTTGGTTTGAAGCTGCTCCATTCTAAGCATAGCCTGCTTCCCTGGACTTTGAGGTTTGCAAAGGCTGACCTTTTCCCTCTGAGCTGGGCCTGTGTATATGTCCCAGTCTCCCACTCACACACAGATTGGTTTTGTCAGATTCAGGCCTAATCACTTTCAATTTCATACCTTGAGCTGGTCAGTTTGCTCTGTCAGCAAACATGCCTACTTAACCTGTCGGTTTGGATAGACAATCTTTTTTTGATGGGTTTGCTCATCACCTGACACAGCAGCATCCTTACCTAAGACAGGTTCCTAAGCACAGGTAGTCATTTATAGGCACAAATAACTGCTGGTTCAGCTTTTGGCAGTGATCTTCATTTCAGCTAAGCATTGCTAGAGTAAACACAAAAAAAATATTTCCATTTATAGAAATATCCCCCATGTTCCTTTGTACCTTATTCCACTGATAAACTCAGGGGCAGAGATTCAGAGATGTCTCTATGATTCCTAATCCCTGCAGTAAATAAGAAGGAAGTGTGAGTCCAGCAGCACTCACCACAGCTTTCTGGTGGTGCAGACATATGTTAAGGATAGCTGGTGATATTCAACCGAGAGTGGAAAGTCTAAAACTTAATAAATTTTTCCTTATCCAAAATCCCACCTCAGTCATACCCTGTCTTAAGTCAGCAAATTGGTTCCCTAAGCATGGGTGAAGACAACTCGGTATAGCAACAGAGCCCTAAAGCAGACAGGAAGCATGGTGATTCTTGTTTCCTTATTACTTTTTAGCCTTTCCACACTAGTGTGATGTGTGATTCTAGCTGGCCTGTTTATTATAACCTTTTTGTCCTTTTTAAGTCTTGTCAGCATTTTCTTAAGGCTTCCTCCATTTTTTCCTCTTGACACATTCATCTCTCTCAGTTAGACTGTGTTGCTACTCCAGTTCCATTTCTTCGTTCCCTCCCATTAGTGTTCTTTCCTTGCAATATCCCTTACCTCAGCTATTTGGTTATGCCACAGCAAGTGTGAAGCTCTATTTCAGTACTAAACAAGACATAATTGCA